ATGTCTTTTCCAATGCTATCTGCAATCAATTTATTGACAACTTCTTTCAAGTCGTTTGTCTGCACCTCTCTGGTCATGATTTCCATCATTTTCTTCCGAATTTGGCGAACCTGCTGGTGCTGGGCATAAGAGGTCTTCTGTATCTGATTGTTGCGTTTTTTAGTAAAACCAACACAGAACAGACGAAGCAAATAACCATCAGTAGTTGTAACATCAACATGAGCTTCAATCACAGTCTGCCATTTTTTAACCATAGAACACATTTTGTCACGGGTAAGATCCATGCCATGGAAGTTAGGCAGTTTTTGCCCTGAACATCTTCAGGAATCAGCTTGAATTTTCTAAATGCAACTTCATCATTCTGCAGATCAGCAAGACTCACTTCCAACACGCGACCTTTGAGGCCATCAGATGCAATTTGGGTTCCTTGCGTCCTGGTGACTAGTGTTTTCCCAATATTTCTTATATTGAACATAGCAGGTGCTTTCACATCACACCAATCTTTCTTAGAAAATGGATCAACCACTTTCTTCTTGGCTCCCTTTTTGCCACCTTTCGTAAGGCGCTTGTTCTTGCCAACCGCCATGACAGTGCTCAGCCTATCTCCAGGTTTTGACTACCAAAATATGTCTAGACATTGCATATCACCCCTAATTGAGATGACTGGACTCATCAAAGAAAATGACAGACATTACCTACGGACAAGCTGACACATATTCCATAGCTAAACTGTAAAGGTTTTTTAAAAAGCTACAACATAACTGAACTTTGTTTTCTTACACAAAAGGCGCATTTTACATAATTTTTCTGTATCAGGATTTTGTTATCTTAACAAAAGATCTCAGAGGCCTTTCCACATCAGTCCATAAAGTTCTCCCTTAACGGCTGCACAGCGCTCCATGTTGTCTATATGATCATTTATCTCACTGGCCACCTATGACAGGCATTTGGGGTAACACTCTCTTGCTATTAAAAACAATGCAGTGAGCAACAACGTGCATATAAGTCTTTGTGTATTTGCCAGTGTATCTTTGGAGTAGGTTCCTGGAAGCAGATTTGCTAGTTCAAAGGGCTGATGTGCATGAAATTATGGTAGAGGCCGCCAAATTTCCCTCCACAGAGGTTGTGCCGTTTTGTATTCCCACTAGTGTCCTGATTTCATTACTTAACCTCATAGCATGAACACTTCCAATGTCATTAAATAACCCTTGAAAATTGGATTTCGTAATGGCTGCCCCCAATTCCCACATGTGCATACACTATCAGTAGCTAATCATTCCTTTCCTGTTAAACATATATGAGAATCCCAAACTTTCTGTGTTATAAGTAACACTGGAATGAACTTCTTTGCAAAAAAAAACTTTGACTGAAGTTCTGGTCATTTCCTTAGGACAAATTAATGTATCAAAGAGTTTCCCTATTTCTGACCTCTCTTATGACATACTGGTAGAGTTCTTCCATGAGGAAATGGTGCAGCGGTTCCCAACCTGTGGGTCACAATCCACAGGAACTGGATTAAAGGGCTGCAGCATTAGAAAGGTTGAGAACCGCTGAACCATTTTTTGTCAAGAGTATTGGGATAGATCTTTTTCTTGGGTTCAGGGTCTTTGATGAGGGAATAGACTTATCTGAGCAGTCTGTCCTTCTGGGGGAAATAACTAAATCACACCAAACTATGTAAAGACCCAGGCTTAAAAATCCTGAATAAATTCTTTATGGTTAGTGGCAGCTCTGATCAATTTCATCATTCAGGGCACTAGGCTATTCTTTTCTGCTTGTTAACTTAACATTTTCTCTAGACACATTCCTTCTCTCTCAAAGAAGCAATCATTTTCTCCTGCTCAGCAGAGAGATGGTGGGCAGGCTTTGTTTCTTCACAGCTTCTCTTCCTAAGAGAATTTCCCCTGGTCTACAATATCATGGAAAGGACAGCTCATCTGTGTCATTTGAGGTGGAAATAAACTATGAGAGGAGTAACAAATGTTGCATCTTTAATATTACCACTTAAAGTAATAGCCATGTAAGAAATTTAGCAAGCACTATTAGGACTAATTTCACCCATCTTGATTGTTGAGTACTCACACACTGAGGCCTAGCAGTCCAGAGGGAAACAAAATACTGAACACAGCCATTAAGGCAAATGCTATCTTTAGACGTCTATTTAAGTCTATGGTAGTGTGGACAAATAAGGTGTGAAGATGATGAGTGTAGCTTGCAGAAACTCATGTTTTCCTTACTGTTTGCAAAATGGCTAGAAATTCCAGCAACCACCCTAAAAATAAGATACCTGGTATAATCAAGCTCTGAATTTAAAAAAAAAAAAAATCCCTAAACCTCCCTAACATTTAGAAGAAAACACGAGACCTCTGAGACAATTGCACTGGGAACAGTCTTGATTCATTTAGAGGAAAATGAGCAGGAAAAGTGAGCTGTCCATCAGCAGAGGGTCCCCAGTGCCATCGCCTCATGACTTACTTTCTCAGTTAAATTTGAAACCCAATTGGTTACCCCCCCCCCCCACCAACCCGGTCTCACTCTGTTGCCTACACTGGAACATGGTGGTGCAATCCTGGCTCATTGCAGCCTTGAACGCCTGAGCTCAAGTGATTCTCCTGCCTCCTGAGTAGCTGGGACTACAGGAGTGCACCACTGTGCCCAGCTAACCTGGCTGTCTTTCTATTACCTGTGTAAAATGACTTCTCCCCACAGGAACCCTCTCCTCTCTGGCGTGGTGTTTCTATAGCAATGTATGCCTGTGATTTAAGGGATCAGTACACATAACCCTGGCTTTTTAAAAAAATAAAAATGTGTTCACGAGATGCAGGTTAAAGGCAGTTCAATTGGTTTACCCCTGGGGCGAGACTTCCCAGTACCTTTACAGTGGGATTGTGCTTGTGACTCTCCATGAAAGACAAGAGAAAGAAGATAAAGACAAGATAAAGCAGTCAGTCCATTCATATCTGACTCGAGAGTCCTTGCCTCCAGGAGCATCTCACAGGACCAGTGCCCCAGCTGAAAACCTTTTGGGAAACGTTAGTTTATATTCCATCACCCTGATCTAATGAATGCTTTTTTCATTGTACTTGTGTTCAGTCATGCATGCAGGCTTTTTA